CTTGGCGTTTCCTGAAAAGAGCATGGAGGCCTGAGCTGGGGACCTTTCTCCCCACCTGGGCTAAAAAACTCACTGCTCCCGCCCCTTGTATTTTGGAATTCTTTGCTGCTTTTTTCCCCAGCCTGTTTTCAATTTGCTCTTGTGGCCGGCTTTGACTCTGACCTCAACTCAATCAGAAACGAGAGGGTGAGGGGAGAAAGAGAAGGGGTGGGGGGGAAGGAAACGTGGAGGCAGAGGATTTGAGGGAGTGATAAAAGGATAGGGGATTGAGGCAGGCGGTGGGGCCTTGAGAAAAATTACTCTGTGCTTTGTTGGGTTGGTTCTGAAGCTTCAGCAGAATCAAGATTGACCTTTTCTGTGGATTGTAATGAGAGCAAGGCTTGAGTCTGAGTGGATAAAGAAATGTGTGGGGGTCTGGCCCAAGCCCACTCGGGTTACAGCCCCAGAAGAGCCATAATGGGGAACAGGCACATTCCTGTACAGCGACTCCCAACTCCCTATCTGTTTTCAAGGAAAGAAAAACAGAGAAAGAATGTTAGAATCTTGGACAGGCATGGGCGAGGCGGTGGAGGCAACAGCCTGGGTCTAGGAGGATTCTGCCACACGGCCATAACATGTCAGAGAGGAGGGGACAGAGCTAATGTAGGCAGAGTGTCCTAGTGGAAGGCACATGGAGCTCAGAAGCAAAAGAGATAGGTTTAATCCTGGACTCTGCCCCGAGAGGCTGTGAAGCCTTGAGTGGGGCTGCAACATTCCTGAATCTCTGTATTCCTATCAGGGAATGTGGCAGGGTTTTTGGACTCAAACATTTTTAGCAATAAAACTTATAAGCCAACATTTTTAAAACCCGTTTTTTCCCCAACTTACATAAAACATGGACCATCAGTATATAAAACAGATCTAACTGGTGTTGCTCTGGTTTGAAGTTAGCGTGAGTATAAGAGGAGACAGAATTTAGCCCCTACCTACCACCTCTGCCGTTCCTTCTCAACTCTGGAGTTCTGCATATTCTATTTGGCAAACCACTGCTAGAATATATTACATAGTGGAAACCTGTTGAACTACTTCTGTCTCTCCTGGGCTTTATATCTTTCTTAGGGAGTCCAAGTTTAAGAAGATGGCCAGGTGGAACTGTGTGTGCCTTGCACAGCGCCTGGCACATAGTAAGGAGAGCTCACATTCATGTGGACTATAGCTGGTCAGAAACTGAAGAGCAACATCTGCAGTTTTCAGCAATTTTATCTCCTAGGCTGGCTGATAGGAATCATCACATAGGCTCTAAGAGTGAAGAGATGCGGTTTTTGTTCTAAGTCAACCTCCTACTTTGTGTTTGGCCATGGACATGCCACTTTCCTTCTCAAGGCTTCAGTTGTCACCTGGAAAAGGATAGGATTTTACCCAAAAGTTGGGTTTAAAAAAAAAAAAAATCTAAGGGTCCTTATCTCTCTTCTCTGTTATGATGACAATAATAATAAAAACAATGATAGTTAACATATTTTGAGCCCTAGTGTATGCCAGACATTATGCTAATCGATTTGTAAGCAATATATGCAATTTTTATATGATACAATGCTGTAAGTTAGATACTTTTATTATATCCATTTTACATGTGAGAAAATAGATGTAAAGAGTCAAGGAATCTGTCCAAGGCAAGCTGTAAGTGGGGGTGAGCCAGGATTTAATCCTAGACAGCATAAATTCAGAGCTCAGCCTCTTCACCACTGCACTGTAGTATTGTTCGTTCTGTTGTCCCACTGCCAGACTTGGGCTATGGTGTATTGTAGAGCCCTGATGCATGTGTTGAATTGTACTGATTTGCATTTGTGCACAGAGAAGCCTCCGGGCCTTTCTTAATTACCCCTCCCCCCCCACTAAGTGAGCGAGGACAGTGAAGGATTGCCTCATTCACCTGTCTCCGCCTAGGTTACATTCAAACCTCCTGGAATAGAGTGCCAAGAAAAGCAGTCTTATATTTCACTTTATGGGTCTGTTCTTGTATTTGAGAAACCTTCTTCTTGTCAGATTACAAACTGTAGAAGGTCAGGGACCATTTCTTTTATTGTTTCATTCCCCAAGACCATTGAACGAAGAGTGGCATGAATTCAGTTGCAGACCGAACAGAATTGAGAAAGCTCACTTTCTAACACTATTGTTTTTTAAACTTTCTCTAGGAGGCAGCATAGTATAAAAGAAAAGGTATGGCTTTGGAGTTAGGATGATCTGGGTTCAAATCTCAGCTCTGTCCCTCCCTAAATTACTGAGCTTCATCTCAGCTTTATAAGAGAGATATTACTATTTAACTCATTAGTATTGAGTATTGTGACAAATGAAAAAAAAAAGAAAATTTGGTACTAAATGTCAGTTTTCCTCCCTTTAACTCTTTTCATTTGAAGGTCATTATGTATATTTTGTCCCGAATAGAACTGGGCACTGAGTTTCCTTAGAATGTCCTCCATATAACTAGTTATATATGCCATGCTCTCCAGTTTCTTCACTTGAACTAAACCTGTAAACCTTAGAACCATGTGCCTATCTTACTGACCTATCAGACATATTATGAGGCTTTTATCCAGGGTCCAAATTATTCTGAAATGGATTGAAATATCTGGAAAACTATGCCCATTTGTAAATGAATGTCAACCATATTTTGGCTTGAAGATGGTTAATACAGGCCACTGGAATACTGAATTCCCTCATGAGGGGCCAACTCTTTCAATGGCTATCTAGAAACAAATTGAAAAGCAGACAGACATGGATCCAAGCTCAAAGAAAACAAATGTAAGCTGCCAAACTTGAAATCCTAAGAAACCAAGAGAAACAAAGCCCTTACTCCCTCCTGTGAGTAATTCCATGTTTTTCCCCCTTTCCTTATTTTCCACCCTATACATTGTTCTGCTTTGGCACCTATTGGCAGAGAGACATTGTTGGTTTATGATTTTACTATGGAAGAAGCTGACATAAGAGGCCTATGGAAGAAATAGGGGAGGTCAAAATCTTTGATGAATAAAGCTTTCATTTACCTTTTCATTTTCTAGCAGAACCGCTGGTTCTAGACAACGAATTTCTTCTTAGACTCAGCCTTTCTTTCTAGACTCCAAACTCAGTAAGAGCTATTGACCCCATATTACAGAAAGGAAAACTGAGACTTTGAGAGGTTAAGAGACTTGCAGTAAATGGTGGAAATAGAATTCAGTCCCAAGTCTGTCCAACAATAGCAGGTGAACCTGCGTGTCGCTGACAGCCTGATTCAGACACTTCCTCTGGCACCTATGTATCAAGTCCATGAACTGTAGTTGTCATTGTAAAAAGTGGAAAACAAAGAACACCACACATCAGCTGTACTAGATTGGACCATAGGGACAAATACTTTATAGAACCATTGTTTACCTGAACTCCCAGGGCTATCCAGACTGTTCAGTCAGACAAGTGTTAACCTCATTCACTTGTGAGTGAAGAATGAAACTTTTCTTTGAAAGACCAACAGGAGGTGATCTGTATATTCTGCCCTTCCAGTTCCCTGCCTCCCTGGGTCACAGTCTTCTCAGACACTTGGCCAATATTAGTGTACCATGATAGTTCCATTATATTGGATTGTCCTTAACATCAAGTAGAGAGGATTTAGTTGAATGGACATCTTCCTCTTGTTTGTTACTAAGAATAAGTGAGTAGAGAGTGTGAGGCATTCCATACCAGACAAGAAAAAGAAGGAATGAACTGTAGGGAGGCCTCCTATTATTCCATACTGTGTGGTAGAAAATAACTCACATGCTTGTTTTGCTCCTAAATTATCCAATTTTAGAATTGGAAGGGAACTTAGAGGCCATTTAGTCTGGCTCATTTATTTTATCTATTTTTAAGTAATTTTTATTGATTTTTTTCTTTGTTACAAAAGTAATACATGTTCACTGTAGGTAGATACACGTGTAAAATTTCCACCAAACATTAGATTATTCTGTAATAGCACAGCCTGTTTTTTAATTTAATATCTTTTCCTATAATTTCATAATCTTCCACAATATTTTTTAATAGCTACAAAATATTCCACTGCATCACTGAACTATAAATGATATTGCTGTTTCTATATCATTGAACGTTTAGTTGTTTCTAAATTCTTCTTGATTTAAATAGTACCATAATGTTTGTCCACATAGCTCAATCTTTGTGTACATCTGTGTTTTTATTTTATTTTTTTAAAGCTCTAATAGTGATTCTACCACTTTGATTCTACAGAGGAGGAAACTAAGGCACAGAGATGGGAATTCAGTTGCCCCAAGCTATCCAGCAAATCCTTAACAGAGTTAAGACTAGATTTGAAAATGTTATTCTTTTTAGTCAGGCCTATTTCTAGTAAACTTCAGCTGCTTCCTAAAACCCAGTGGCTCAGTCGACTTTTAGAAATCATGGAAATCAAGGCACTTGCCCTTGCTCTTCCACTGTCCCTTCCTGTCCCATGGCCTTCATCACTCATCAGTCATAGAACTCTTTCCCCCTCAGTTGGACCAGGTTTCTGCCCATCTCAACGTAACACTTCATGAATCTAGTGCCACTGCATTAAGAGTGACCATGCGATAAGAAACCTATCTTATATCCTTGGAAGGAGAATGCAATCCCAAGAAGGAATGGCCTTGCTCAAGTAATGAAGAGGAAGTTAATGGCAGGAACAAGACCAGAAAATTTACTCTGGACAGAAAGCATTATCCCCCTGTTATCTTTCCATGCATTTTTAGTACACAGTAATTTACCTCATTTGAGCCTTGTTACAATTTCATAAAGGTAGGTATGAGTATGCCCACTTTCCAGTTGAGAAAATTCCAGCATAAATTTAAACAGAGTCACTAGGGCTAGATACTAATCTGTGTCATGTTCATATGCTCTGCTTGTTTTGTCCACTAATCCTCCTGATAATGATATCCAGACATTTCATGGGTTTGGACAGCAGCAAGAATGTCTGCTCACCAAGGCCCGAGCTGGAGAGCTCATCTTTCTTTGTCTCCCTCTAGGAGAGTTCCTGAGTTTTGCTGATGACTTACTCTCTGGCCTGGGCACATCTTGTGTGGCAGCTGGTCGAAGCCATGGAGAGGTCCCCGAAGTCAGTATCTACTCCGTCATCTTCAAGTGTCTGGAGCCCGACGGTCTCTACAAGTAAGATATGCTGGGTGCGTGGGGAGTGTGAAACAGGACGATTTTAAGTCTGGGAGGCAAGGAATGAGTAATCCATCCAGACCAACCAAATGTTTTATAGGCCAGCCTATATGTGCACCTTGAGATGCTGAGGTTTAGAAGTATCCATTGGAGAAGTGTGGCCACAGTAAGCCACAGAATCCTACAGGGTTAGTGCTGAAGGGCCCAGGGAGACCAGGGAACACAAAACCATTTCTTCTAGTAATGAAGAATCTGCAGCCAAGAGAGGAAACATGGCAAGTTAGCAAGGAGGGCTGGGGCAGGAGTGCCTGCCTGGGGTTCTTTTCTCAATTCCATGATATCTCCTCGAAAAAGATTACATTAGCATATTTGAAATATATATATATATATATATATATATATATATACACACACACACACACACAAACACATATATATGTGTATATATATTTGTATTCATATATATTTGTTTGTTTTACTAGATTCAGCTGCTCCCCTTAGAAATAGTGCCACCATCACTCCTTCACAGAGTACATTGGAGTCACTGCATTCACACTTCTAGAGATGCAAAAGGAAGTCATTCTAAGGCTCAGCTGTTAATCTCAGAGGGAAAGGGGTCTCATCTTTCTTTTGTTCCATTCTCAGTGAGTATTGTCACACTGAGATGCATCCATCATAAACTATTACATAGAATTCTAGAGACAAGCTATCTTCATGTACCCTAATTATGAAACTATAGGCCACTTCCCTTAGCAACCAATTTCACCAATTATTGAAAGCATTTGTTTTTCTTTTATTTACTCAGTGATCCATTTACTTATCCATTTACCTAATCATGAATCCCTCCCTCCTTCCATCCTTTTCTCTCCCCTTTCCTCTCTTTCTCCATCCATCCATCCGTCTGTTCATCCACTCTTATACTCCATCACTCATTCACTTATTCATCACTTTCATTCATTCACGTTTTTACTTATTCATAACTCATTTATTTATTCATCAGACATTTTCTGAGGGCTTCCTATGACTTGGTACTAAGCTAAGAAATGCAGGTATCAATGTGACAGAGACAAAGGTTTAATTCTCAAATGACTTATAACATAATGATGGTATGAAAGGCCACATATTGAGGAATCAGATCTGGCTTTGACATTTTTAATTATGTCACCCTTAGATAAGTTGCTTTACCTCTGTAAGCCTCAGTAAGAAAGTAATAATAAAACCTAGGCTGTAGAGTTGCATGAGAATTAAGTAAGAAACACCCTAGCACAGTAACTAAGTATGTGCTCAGTAAGTATTATCCCTCCCCCATCCAAATCTCCTTCATCTCCAAACCACATCCCATCCCTACTTCCTCTGGAAGATACCACTTTTCTAAATACCATGGCACTCTTTTGAATACCCAACACATTCAGGCTCTTTGGTAACACCCAACAGATCCATGCACCAGACTCAGACTCAGGAATATCACTGTAAGCTAGAAATTGGGCCTCTGACCCTCGCTCTGCCACTGATTATCTCATAGATGTGGGGGCCCAAGTTTTAGTTTGTCAGAATGGCAAAATCTTTTGGGGACAGTGAGAGGTCTGGGAATGGACTCTCCAAAATACCATAGGCTATCACATCTCTTCCGGTGGGATGTGTCGGCAAACTTCCTAGAGGAAGTAGCATTTGCCTCAGGCCTTAAGTGGTGACTTGAGATCCAGATTTTGAGAGCATGACTCCATAGCTTCTTAATCAGTAAGTGCTGCCACTAACCTGTTGGGCTCTAGGATCACCCATCTATATAATACAAGTATGTGACTAGATTAAGAGCTATAAGGTCTTTTCCAACTCTCAAAACTATGATTATATGAAGAAAGTAGCATTTTTGAAAGATTTCAAGATGGCTGACTTCTGGTTCCTCTGTCCCCCATTATGGGTATAGACTCAATACAGACAGACAGATCTGGGTTCCAGTCTCTACCCTGCACTTACCAGCTGTGTGACACCAAGTGAGTTTCTCAACCTTCTGAGCTTCCATCTCCTCCTCTGTGAAAATGGGGATAATGACAGTGTCTGACTCACTGGGACCTGAAGAAGATTTGATGAGATAGTGCACAAAAGCTCTCCACTCGGTGATGGGCTCCCAGTAAGAGTGTAAGAAGTGTTAGCTGTTACCACTGTTGTTCTTATTGTCCTTGTTGTGCTAAAACTTAATTTTAACTCCCTTCCCCTCCTTTTGCCAGCTTACTAGGATAGCATCTAGTGGAGAGGGACAGAGCCCCGGCAGGTGGTTCCTATCCACTGAGACACAAGCAGTAATCCTGTCTCTGGGTGACGTTGTGGAGTCTTGGCATTAGCCAGTCTGAAATCCTACAGGCCCATTATGTAGAGAGCAATGAAATGTTTTATGGAACCCCAGAAGCAGTTAACACTGAGAGCTGACAAATCACTTGACATCCTTTAGAAGTGATGATCATTTTCCCTCACCTCTTCTTTTCCTTTCTTCTTGATATCCCCTACTCCCTTCCCACCTCTTGACATAGGACCATCTTTTCTCCTTCTGTCCTGGAAATGTGTTTGTCATGAGCTTGTCATCCCTAACTCTGAACACGTCTTTATTTTATTTTTGAAATTGATTTTATTAATGGCTGTGGAATCTGGGCTGTTCCGACAAGGAGCCCAGGGTGTGGTTTGGACCCCATGTCTCATCCTGCTGGTGGCTTTCCTTCCATGAAGTCTGACCAGCTCAGTCTTGAGTTTTAAAATAGTTACACTGTCAGTTCTTGGGGTTTCAGATTTTCTGCTTGCTCGTCCCTTACCAAAATTAATTTTCTAACTCGGGTCGAAAAGGCCGTGTGTGGCAATAGGAGGACAGGCTGAGCTGAGTGCAAATCCTGATTCTTCCCTGTCCTCAGAACCTGCCCTGGGGAAAGCCAGTTCTCACCGCTCTATACCACAGTGTCTTCCTCTGGAAACAGGGGGCTGGTAATTGTTTTGATCTTGCGGGGTTAAAGGGAAGAGCATTAAGTGAGAAACTCCACAGACAAGGTTTACCAGAATGCCTTGCACATAGTTACTGTTTTCTTCTCTTTCACTCCATCACTGGTTATCTATATCTTTCACAAGTATAATCCTGGAAGAGCCGTTCCCTATGGGGCAGGTTGGGGTGCTGCTAGCCCTGGAAAAAAGGACCATCCAGGATCCTTTGGGAATGAAATAGGGTGAAAAGAGAACATGGGTCCAGACCCCTGAGTTTTAATTAAGCACAGGGCACCACATCCCCCTGGACCGACTGCCAGAGCTGTAATAGGATTCAAGTGGCACGGGCGTGCAGGCTCAGCCTCTCAGGCAGGTAGTCTGAGTTCACGTCTCACTTACTGCCACTTCTGTCTCTGGGACCCTGGGCTAAACATTCATGCCATCTCCTTGTTCTGCAGTTTCAACACTTCCAAAGTGAAGGTGTGTTAGGTCCACCCCAGCTTGAGAGTTCAGAAAATGGGTACTTTTGCCGCAAGATTTCTTCTCATTCTCTCTCTCCTTCTCCTCCTGGGCTTCTGCCCTTCCTGCTTCTCTCCCTCTCTCCCTTTGCTTTTACCCCACTGTGCCTTCCTGCATCTCTGTTCATCTCTCATGTCTTTCATTCCCTCTCTGTGTACGTGTATTCTGTATAGCTCACAGTCTTTGTCTGCCATTCTCCCAGTCATTCCTTCTTTGCCTTTCTATTTGTTATTTTCTTAACTTCTGTTTGTCTGTATATAACTCAGTTTCTCTGTCCTATTTCTTACTTGAGTTTGGATTCCTCTCTGTTTGTCTCTCTCTTTCTCTCTCTGAATGCCCACTCCCTCTCTCCCCTCCACCTGGGAGGACAAATTGCTTTTGCAGCCCCTCCAGGGTTGAGACCAGTTGGAGGAGTGAAAGTCAAGGCTGATTTTCTGTCCTAAGCTTACCCTGGTGTAGCAAAACAAAAACATCAGCATTTGGGCCCTGTTTAAATTGAATTTCCTTGTTTGTTCCACTTGTTTTGCTTTCGAATGAAAACAAACAAAGAACGGCAGAGGAGAGGGTCCCCAGAAGGTCTGACAGTGTGGCCAGCTCCTGCACCCTTGGGTTGTTGGAACTGGTGAGTGACCCCCGATCAGGAATCTCCACTCAGGGTGGACGGGTCGGGCAGGGCTAGGCATCCGTGGTCCCTGACCTCGGCTGGCTAAAGGCCTAGACACTGTTCTTGTTGCCATTCCTCAATTTCCTATTACCCAAGGTAATTAGCCTCTGTCTTGTCTTGGCTGCCTTGCCTTTCTCTAATCATGGATGACTGCCAAAGGGTCCTGAGCAAACATGCAGCAGCAGCCAGGCCCAATTCCTGGGGGGGGGGGGGGGGGGTGTCATTCCCACACATTCAAAGGCTTGCCCTGGGCCCGTCCTTTAACTCCATGGCCTCCACTCTGTGAAAAGAATGGCAAGGGAGCCTAGGTACTGCAACCACGTGCCAACGTCCGCTGTGGGACCAGAGGCTCGGGGGAGGGGTTCCTTCTCAGCAGGGGTGGGCGGAGTGGGAGGAGATGAGAGGAAACCAGGGCCCTGGAGAAGAGCAAGCACGGTAAAAAAAAGAAGAGCCTGAGGTCAGGAGTCAGATAGCAACTCCCACACTTAATCCCAGTGAGACCTGGGGCCGGTTCTTTCCCCTCCCCTGGCCTTGATGTTGTCATCTGTGAAATGGAAACATTAAACTCTGTGCTCTGAGACGTGCGCACTGAGGCTGGGATGCAGACTACACCAGAGTCCTGATTCTCAGTGCTTCCAGCACTTCCTGGGTCATAGCAGTAGTGGGGTTAGTAAGAGTCAACTGAGCATTCACCATGTGCCAGGAACCACACTAGGGATGTTCCACGTTCCATCTCATTTAAGCCCTGCCATAACCCTGTGGGTCTGATATCATCCTCATCGTCATCACCTCCTGTTTCATCGATGGGAAAACTGGGGCTTAAAGGGATAAACATTTTGCCCCAAATCACATGACA